ACCGGCTCTAAAGGGTTAAAGAGGTTGATATACCCAGTTTGGAAGTGTTTCAGTTTATTTGGGTTAAATTATGTTTGAAACCCAATTTCGTCTTCTTAACCGTCATTAACAATAGCCAGCTACAAACCAAAGCTCTAGTTACCTATATCATGCAGCATTTACACAGAGAGCAGTTTCATTGTCAGATGTCAGAACTACCCTTTTAAAAATGCCAGATAGTTGTATTTGTTCAGAAAAACTACACTGAAACCTTTATTCACTGATGAACACAGTAATGACAATGTGGACACTTTGGCTGAAATTATGTCAAATAATATCACAAAAACTGATGAACTTACCTTGGCTCCTCTAGCTCAGGTACCAAAAAATTTTCCACCCAGCCAGCATCTCTTTCACTGTAGGAAACAAAGGCATCAAAGGATATCAGGGCTTCTGTGTCTGCCTCATCTCTGCGTTGCTGCCGTTGTCGAGAATTACGCTTGGTCTTGAGCCATGCCCAGATCATCTTGAGGTACCAAAAGGCATGGATGCGCCACAGCACCACAGATAGCAGAGTGGCTACAAACAACGCCAAGCCACAGCTCACTGACACAAACAAAACCTGATGGCACATGACAACTGAGAGTCGGACTTGATCCACTGGCTGTCCATGTAGATAGAAAGGGGAGTCGCAGATGTAGCTGTCCACTCCATCTGTCAGTTGTATACCTCCACCTCCTTGGAGTTCCAACTGGACAAAGCTGACAAAGTCACAGGAGCAGACAAACTTGTTCTGACCAGCCTGGAGGTTATCGAGTCGCTGGTATGACTGGAGGTCTGTTTTGCCAAACATGTTCAGGGTATTTGACTGTGGAAATAAAATGTGTATCATAATGGAAACACTAAGAGGATCAGAAGCATAAACATATGATCTGACTTATTACCTGGATGGTCAGGGTTTGTAGATTGGGGAAGGATAGCCCAGAGGGCAACCTCAGAAACTTGTTGCCAGAGAGATACAGTTCCCTGAGTACAGGCAGGAGTAGAGTGAAATCTTTAAGGTTGTTGTTGCTCAAATCCAGCACCTGTAAAGAATAAAGCATAAGGAAAAAAAATAGGTTGCCAGGTCAATCTGCCAGGTCAATACATGGTCTTCATACCTCCAGGGTTTGGGGTAGACAGGGGGTAATGGCTGTGAACTTTGCCCCGGAGATGTTTAGGAATTGCAGGGTGGAAGGCCAAGGACAGCTTGAGGGCATGAAGCTGTAACCGGTCCTACTAATGTCCAGGTGTGTCAGTTTAGAGAACTTTGTGACCAGTCGGCTCACGGTGGACAAAGACTGGACAGAAATGGGGAATGAAAGATGGAAAGTACTTGTCGTCATCAATCCTCAGAATTCTTGAATACTTGTAGGTAACGCAGATTTTCAGTTTCATACTTCACCTTCAGAGCATTTCCACTGAAGTTTAAAACTCGAATGTCCTTCAAAGTTTGTGTTGTACCACAAAGCGTCTCCTCCAGAGTCAGGTCCGTCAGAAGGTTGTCGGACAGGTCCAGATACTGCAGGTTCTTCAGCAGATGGGACGTAAGACAAGGCATCACAAACACCTAAAGGAAAGAACCAAAACTCATCAATAAGACTGCAAAGTGGGAAGTATTAGTATTTCTAGTCTTTTCCTCCAGTTTGCATTACAACTCCAACATCCGTCCACAAGACAGACATGTTAGGTAAACCGTTGATTCTTATTTGGCCACAGGTCTGATTGTGAAAACGAATAGTTATCTGTCTCTCTTTGTTAGTCTTGCAACAGACTGGATACCTGTCCGAGGTGTACCCTGCTACCCTATAAGGTGGGATAGTCTCCGGGCCCCTGCATAACCCTGGATTAGCCAAATTAAAGAAAATGGGTGGACAGATGTAAATATTGCATGCACAGGAAAATGGGTCATCTTTGGCAATCATTTCCATTTCCATGTACAATGCAGAAAACAGACTATGAACAAAGTATATTGTAGCAACTATCAGGTAAAAAAGTTTCATGTAGAAACTTGAAAGAACATCCAACTACCCTGCAGGCCATTATAAACATGTTTGCAAGTATCCTTAGTTTGATTTTATGTCTCCTGAAGAGGTTAACTCTGTAAGGAAAACTTAAAATGAAAGGGATGTGTTGATACAATCTATAATATCAGTAAATAGTTCAACAAATCTCTGGCTTTGATTTCAACTGCACTAGGGTAAGAGAAAATAAAAACAAGAATTTTTAGATGAAATGGCCATCTTTATCTATGGTATGTATAAATAGTATATACAAGTAAAACTTGTAAGCTAAAACCTTTCTCTTGAATACAAGCTGATCTGAAAATTATCCACATCTTCACACAAACTCCACAAAAGCCAAACTCACAGATGACCTAAACATACGTAACAAAATAAAGAGACCATCTAGGTGTCTGTTTATGTTCCGCTAGACAGATTTGTTTTAATTTCATCTGACCAGTTTTTTTGTCAGCTTAAAAAAATCCATCTTTAACTGAAAACAATGAACCCAAGGCTTTCAAAATCATAGTTGATCACTGTATGGATATCCTGAAAAAATGTCTCTAGGGGGTAAACTAATCAATATTTTCCATAGAGTTGTTCTCCAAAATGTTACACAAGCAGCATACATTACAGAGCTGGTCACTTTAGAGACTGGCACGGCATACTACAGTGGGATGCAAAAGTTTGGGCAACCTTGTCATTATTTTCTTGTATAAATTGTTGGTTGTTACAATTAAAAATGTCAGTTAACCTCCTAAGACCCAAACTCTTCCATGGCATGCATTTTAAATCTTCTTTGCCATTTGGGGTGATTGGGACCTGATGAATGTAAAAACAAAGAATTACCAGATTATTTTTTTTAACCTAATTTTTGTTTCTGAGACAAATGAGATCCACCTATAAGGGCATTGGTTTTAAATTTTGATAGAACAGTGGCAGTATAATGTCCTTGTAAGTGGATATCAGGCCCTTGTAGAGAAAAATTAAGTATTTTCGTCTAGACATCCCAAAATGTGATGTCCACATATGTGGACGCCAGGTCCTAGGAGGTTAAATATATCATATAGAAGACACACAGAGTGATATTTGAGAAGTGAAATGAGGTTGATTGCATTTACAGAAAGTGTGCAATAAATGTTTAAACAAAGTCAGGCAGGTGCATAAATTTGGGCACTCGTGTCATTTTATTGATTCCAAAACCGTTAGAACTAATTATTGGAACTCAAATTGGCTTGGAAAGCTCAGTGACCCCTGACCTACATACACAGGTGAATCCAATAATGAGAACGAGTATTTAAGAGGGTCAATCGTCAATGTTCCCTCTAATTTTCCATGTGTCTGAGCGAACACACAAACTCCCTGAGCGGTCCCTTGGACCACTGTGAGCAACATTAGACGTGTGCACTGTGGTTACACCAGCATC